AAAAGAGCCACCCTGCAAAGTTAAATGTGAGCTGCAAAGAGCAATTGAATTACTGCACGTTTGCTGTACCAGCTTTAAATCTAGTAGCACACACACCTTAACAAGGTGGAAAAATTGCCAGGTTTGGACTGTTTTCTATGCATAGGGTTTCTGCATCAATGAACCTGATGCTGAGTTCAGCTCAGTCAGGGAAGCAGCTTCTGGGTGGCACTCACTGCAATTCCAATCCGTGCTGTCAAAAGGGGTCTTCGAGGGCTGACCCACTGTGAAAAAAGCATCCCAGCTGTCTGGATTCCAGCAGGCATCCAAGTGATGGTTCCTATGAGCAGCTTCTGCCACCACTGACCAGAACAGTCCCAGAAAAGAGTCCCTCACAAGGTACTCTCTATTGGTCCTGGCAATAAGTCAGTAGCCAACAATCAGGAGGGGCACAAAAAATGAAGGAAAAATGACTACAGTTGCAGGTCTGAACTCAGCAAAGGACTTCCAAGAACCCCTAAGAAGCCAGTAGCAACGCTGGGATCTCAAAGGAAGACCACAAACACATCAGAGTTTTTCTTTCAGGCCCAAACTTGTAAACCTTAAGGAGCTGCCCTGCTTATCTGAGTATACATCAACTCCTTTCCTGCCTTGGTAAAAAAAGCAACCCTGTAGGATGCTGCCACAGTAACCGCAGTGTAACTCTACATGTTAACAGTTATGGCAGCACTGCTTTGCACTAAATTGTTCAGATTTATTTTATTCCCCTTTCTATGGGAGCAGAAGCAGTTGCAGAAAAGTCACCTTGTGCTTACCTATATAGTATTTACTTGCTCTGAAAATGGAACCAAACTGCACTAACAGCAAAAGCAACATCACATCTCCTATTAAGCTGCTACCTTACTGACTCTGGAGAACTCATTTAACTAAGGCAAAAAAGTAACTCTGGAATGGGATTGAAAAAACAAATGCAGAGCCCTAAAGAATTATCAGCATCACATGACAGAACTATTTACAGCTCGACAAGGACCTGGTAAGAAATGCTTCCCATTCCAGAGACATTTTGACAAACTTAAGCACAAATTCCACTTCTTGCCTCGAAGGCACAGAGTCAACAGGCTCAAAACCAGCTACCTGCTTCACTTCAGATTGCTTTAGGCCACTCTTTACTAAATACACCAATACCTGCGTACAGGCTGACAGAGCACTGATGCTGTATACGGTCATATAAACTGAAAACACAATGGAGCAGACCTGAAGGGTTTTGTTGTGGATATAGAAGCATGCTTCTGTTTTGAAGCATAAACCTGACAGGATCTTTCACACCACGAGCCTGTGAGGCGTTCTTTTACCCCAGCACTCAGCTGATGAACAGCCCATTCTGTTACAGTCTAACATGCCTCTTGTTCTGTATATTCCCATATTCTGACCGTGCCAGATTACAGTCTGCAAAATTAAGCTCTACACCTTTCATGCAACCCGCACCCTGAACTCCCTCCAAATGCTTTTCAAACTTCGGCTTTAACCGATCTGCTTAATTTTGTCCTAAGGTCAGAAATACTGCACGCATATCAGAACAAAATACCTACAGAACTGCGGTCGCTAAATAATTCTGACTTCCCAACCCGCAGCACGGCACAGCGCTCTGCTCCCTACAGCGATCACACCTTCCCACAGGAAGCAAACCGCTCTCCTCGTCCCGAGCACCAGAAGCACGTTAACAACCAAACCCAACGCCGGGACTCCGGCGATCCTTGCGACACATCCTACGTCCCGCAGGAAGGAAAGACGTTCGGAGTATTTTTAAAGTGCGGCTCCCACCCAACCGACTCCTCGGGACACAAAGACACGGAGCGATTCCCGGGAACGCGGGAAACACGCCCAGCCCCTCACCGGGCAGAGCCTCGGGTACGCGGAACCTCTTTCCCTCTTCCCAGTTCCCCCTCCCGCCGCCTCCCCGGCCCACGAGGCCCTCGCGCCGCCGCCCCGCGCGGATCCTTCCCGCCGCCGGGCCCTCATCCGGCCGCCGCCCGCCGCTCCCTCCGATCCGGCCCGTACCTCCGCGCTATGCGATACAGCAGCAGCCCGGCGGCGGCGGCGCACACCGTGACGCCCAGCCCGGCGGCGGGGCAGCGGGCCAGCAGCGCCCCGGCTCCGTCCATGCCGCTCCCCCGCCGCCGCCGCCGCCGCCGCCGCCACCACCGGCGCCGTGACCTCGGCGGCGCCGCTTTGTACGCGGTTCGGCCGCCCCCCCGCCGCCGCCGCTCCGCCCCTCCTGCCGCCCGGGGGCGGGAGCCGTGACTCACGGCGCGGCGTGAAAGGCCGGAGTCGTGCGGCGGCGGCGCCGTGAGTCAGCGCCGCAAAGGCCGAGATCGTGGCCGCGGAGGCGGGGGCGGCCGCCGGGCTGCCGGCCGTTCCGGGGGGCGGCGGGGCCGTCGTGCCTGGCCCGGCGCCAGGGCTGCGCGCTGCCCGCTCTGCTCTTTTTTCTCTTCCTACGTTGACACGCGGTGCTGCCGAGGCGCCGGGCGTGCCGCAGCGAGCACCCTCTGCAGGGAGGCTCTGGCAGCAGCAGCTCGGCCCGGCTGCAGGCCCAGGCCTGGAGAAAGGCTTCCAAAAGGAAGGATCGTCTCTCCCAGGGCCTCTCGCGCACGGTGGAAAGCAGGGAGCTTACGGGAACGTTGCCATTTACGTCGACACGTGGTTTTGCGGGGGGCAAGGAAAGTAAAATAGTGGCTGAGAGAATTATGAAAGCGAAACCGATAGAAAAATTGAAAGGGTTGATAGCTGCAGGACAAGGGGAAATGGTTTTAAGTTAAAGGAGGGAGGATTTAGGTTGGATGTCAGGGGGAAATTCTTGACAGAGAGCAGTGAGGTGCTGGAACAGCTGCCCACAGAGGCTGTGGATGCCCCATCCATCTCTGGAGGTGTTCAAGGCCAGGTTGGATGGAGCACTGGGCAGCCTGGGCTGGTTTGAAACGGGGAGGTTGGTGGCCCTGCATGTTGCAGGGGGTTGGAGATTTGTGATCTTTGAGGTCCCTTCCAACCCTGGCCATTCTGTGAATAAGCTCTTTATGAGACGGAGCCGCCCCCTTCAGGAAAACACATAGCCCTTCCACTCTCTCCCCTTCTTGCCGATCTGAGCTCCCTTCCGTGCTACCCTGCAAGCAACACGCTGCAAATCACAGCTCCCTTCAGCCAAGGCACACTGTGGCAAGTCGAGCAGCAGCTGGAGGGGCTGTGCAAGCAGTTTGCTGCCTGTAAGCCAGCAGTTGAGAACTGCTACTGTAGGCTTTCCTCTGTCTTGTTAGACAGGTACTATGGCTTCATGGGAAGACCCTGAGTCTGATGTGAGCAGTTTTCCAGTCAGGCTCACCCAGCTCTCCCCTAGAAAGCAAAGTAACCCATACCTGTTTCAGCTCTGCCCCTCTCAGCACATCCAGATGGGAGTCACTGTTCTTACAGAACTAGAAGATGCCTTGACAATCATGCCCTGCTTTTACATGAAGGTAAGAGGCATGAGATTGATCCTGCCTCAGACTGCACAGCTGTTTTCCTGGTTAAAGAAAACAAACAAAAAAACCCTTCAGTGCAACCAATAAAAAAGCTTAAAATGTGGGCAAACCAAGTTGTGCCAACATTGTTTTTAAAAAGCTAAAACTGAGCAGAAGTTTAGAACTGAGTTCAGCTGTTTAATTGCAAAGGAAAAGCTCATCACAGACAAATGCTGTGCTGCAAATAACCTCTGCTTCTAAGCTTAAGTGTGGTTGGGATCTTAAACTCATTTCTATCTCCACACACTTATACATGGGAATGAATTATATGGAATATGGGATAAACAGTGACTATTTCCTCTTGATAAATGGGAGAGGGATGCAATTTTTTTCATCTTTCTTCCATTGTTTAGCTGAATTATTTAGGGACTGTTTTATAAGACCAAATGAAGGAGGAAGTGCAACCCAGTCATTTGGCACATCAAGTCTTTCTGCAGGAACTCCAAGCCTTCTGCACTCAAAGGCTTGTCTATTCTTTCTGCAGAAGGCCCTCCCTTCCTACTGACTGTATCTGTATTATCAGTCCAACCATAAATGCATTGTTTACCAAGAGTTTCCTTCTTAAAGGAACTAATAAAGAACTCCTGCAAAAATAATTATAAATGCTGACAAGGGGCACAATCACAATACAAGAAGCATCACAACAGTCAGTGAACAGATAATTCTGAGGAATGTCCAGGCAACCATGGTTGGCCAAAGGAAGGCACTAAGTCTTTTAGCATAAGGATTTTGGGAAGATTGTCTACAGCTTCAAAAAACAAAAGAATGTTTCCAAAGTTAAAATAACCAACCTGAGGAGCTCATTATTGCAGCAACATGCTTTCAATTTCAATTTAACTGCTCGTTTATGAATAGGAACTGACTTAGTCCTGGTTGCCTGCTCTGCTCCAGCAAATTAAGACTAATTTTGTCACAGCTAGCAGTACAGCTTAAAGAACAACTACAAAAATCCAGAATTCCTCTTTTCCCACCAGAACGAGCTGAAGCAAAATCCTACTCACTTTCTCTAAGTCCCAAACCCCTGTGCAGTATCATTTAGTTCCCCCATTCTTGGATAATAGCAGTCTACACATGTGACTAACTCTAAGAGAGCCAGAGTGCTGTGACTGCACAGGAATACTAATTCAAGAAAGCAAACCTCAGAAGTTTCAGAGCAGCAGCACAAGTGTCCTGGTTCTTAAAAATAGAAACAGTACTGTGTGACAGTTTTGACATCTAGAGAGAGACTAAAGCTTTCACTGCTCATCATCTCCATTAAAGATGGCATCATCTCCATGTCAGTTTTTAGTTACTCAACTGTTTCTTATTTTAGCTTAAGGGTATGATATGTTCTTTTCAGTGAAACATAATAGAAATCAGCTATTTTTGCACTGTTTTGCCTCATAATGAGGCACACAGACATTCTATCACTTGTACTGTGCTCCTCCATCACACTGATGTCAAACATGACATCAAGTACCAGTCACCAGCTAGGTTTGAATCCATTGTATTTCTGCAAATATTAACCTGAAAGCTTTCTCTCACAAAAGACAACCCTACTCACTAACAGGCTGTTTCTTAATGCTTTGCATGATCCTTCCAAGTCCAAAAAACATCTCTGCTGTATGTGCTCCTTGAAGTCAAAGATGTCCATGAACATTTGCTTATGCTCAAGAGCTCAACACCTGCTCAGATCATGAGAAGCTTACTGTTCTGTTCAGCAGCAGGGAAGAATGAAGCCGGGCTCAAAGGCTGCAGTGTTTGTTTCAGCTGTCAAAGCAAATGACACTAATGAATAGGAGAGCACAGAGTAACCAAAGCAAAACACAGATCTTATTTAAGTTCTAAAATATTTTATCCTGCTGTCTGGGGAATTATGCAGACTATCTTTTAATCACAAGTTACTACTGCAACACAAGCAGTAAAGGTATTACTGAAATTAAATTACTGAAATTAATGTTCATGAGAGGGCCAATTGGATCAACTCTAGGATATTTTATTTATAAGTGAAAGGTAAGAACTGTATCATGAGTAGTGTTGAAGAGTTCCCCTTCAATATTGTGTTTTTGGAGGGGGATGGGTAGATAGTGTATTAATGTGAAACGTAGCACTGTTGCACAAGTCTGGCAGATCCTTCTTATTTCATTCTCTAAGAAATCAAATAGTGATAAAGAAAATATCTACACAGGTTTTGTGGCTTTTTGGTGCTAACTCCAGCGACATGACCATGAGATAACAGACTACCTCAGTTCCACTACTGCTGCTCTACAAAGACATCAAATAATGAGGGATTTATTCCTGAATGTCGTACTGCAAAGCAGAATCCAGAACTGCATTCAAAGATTGTCGTACTTGAGACCTATCTTATCCTCTCTTCTACTTTCCAGGACCCCAGCATTGAAAAACACAAAAAACAGCTCCGCAGTAGAAAAAGGCTGAGGTCAGGATACACAACGAAGGTAGCACATCTCATGGAATTTCTACAGGGTGGCCATGCCTCAGACACTGACTGTCCTTATGCTCTCAGCCATTCACAAAAGCAAGTTCCAAAAGCAGTTAGGACAGGTCAGTCTGCAAACACTGGTGCACAGATGCACAGTGCTGTAACTGAGGACATTTTACTGAAGAGCTTCCCACTTCAAAATCTTATTTTGCAAATGTTACCAGTGTAAGTGGCTTTTTTAACAGATTCTGGTGTGCCTCTTGAACGCTGCAGAATGTTTGCACAGCAAGAGGTGATGTACCACAAATAAAGTAGAAGACCTCTCAAAGTTATCTGGACATAAGCTTACTTTAGTGCTAAAAGATGATACAACTGTAGTGGTAGGAAGACTAAGTTTCAAAATTCCAAGCCAGTTCTTCAGTTTTAATACAGTTTAATGAACATCAGTCCAAGAGACCACTTGATGGTATGAGGTACATTCCTTGACCACAATGGCTGTGCTTAAGGAAAAAGGACAAACATATACTTAAATTAAATAGTGTAATTTAATTTAGTAGCTGCTTAATTATCATTAAGTTAAAAAAAAGTTATAATTAACTATTAACGTTAATGACTCAAAACCTTTCAGAAAGCATGAATCCAAAAGGAAAACATTCAGCAGGTGATCACAGACTTGCAGTTCTTCCACCAACAATGCAACCTGCGTCAGTCATTAAGGACTGTTTGTTCAACGAAGAAATTGGTCTGCAGTCAGTAACAGCAGTCGTGGCTCTGCTACTTTGCACGGTCTTCTAACAGATACACAATTAACTCGTAAGTGGACAACACAATGGCTGTGTTTGGTATCTGCCGGATGAGCTGGGCAAAAAGTCCTCTATAGAAGGCGAGGTAGCCTTCCTCACGTGCTACCAGCCGTGCTGTCTGAATGAAGGCCTTGTACTTAGTGCCTTCTTCTCGCAGCCGTGTCCGTATGACCTCTGCAGAAAAGTAAAACAAGAGCCCAAGGTTAACAAGACTTACACATCCCTGAAACGTGCCAAGATCCAAAAAGAAGTTAAAACTTCCCTGCACCCATTGCCTGCTAGCCAGGGCTTTCAGACGTGAAATCCCGCCTGCTTTGTCCTTTAGGCAAGAAGAATGTTAAAGAGGGGTGCCCTTCCATGTAGAAAAAATGGATTATTTGCTTGGTCAAGCTGCTACAAAATGAAACACTTCACTGATACTCACGTAGCCAGTACTGCTCTATAAAACCACAGTGACACTCACTGGTTTCTCCAGAAACACCACTCCTTACCCACTGAGTGCTTCCCACCCCCCGATTTGCATGCACGCACCCTTTTCTGAGTCTGTATTACTTCAGATACAAATTCTGATAATCAGAAACCTTCACTTATTTATTCACCTATTTATTCTTCTAAATACTTAATTACTTCCAAATACCACACAACACTATTATTCAGTCCGCATATAAACTAAATGTATAAAAGCTTCTAAAAGCAGTTGGGACTCATATAGATGAGGCTACTAGTGAGAATGGATGCAACAGGCACTCAGCTTTTTTTGGAGTAGCTCTGAAATGAGGAAATGCTAGTGACTACATAGCTAGGCAGGAATAATAAGAACAGTACTAAAAATCTCAGTGCACATGCACATGCCACAGTAACACGCACAGGTCGTTTGAACAGACAGGAATTTCACAAGCATAAAACTAATTGTTTGCCTTGCATTGGAGGCAACAGCTGTTCTGCAGTCACAAGTGGAAAAGTTAACATACCATGTGGATAAGCAATACAAGAGGCACAGCCCTTGGAAACAGCAGCAGCAAACATCAGTCCAAAGAAGTTTGTGGAGCTCCTTTCAGTTCCGTTAGAAGAAGAGGAGGGCAGCTGGACTTCTTTTAAGTGCTTTTTTAAACTTTCATAAATAGCAAAGCAGATAATGGTCTCAGAAATCCCAGCATAGGAGGCAGTCAATCCTCTATAAAAACCACGGATACCTTCCATCTGGTACACGTATCTAGCACACTGCAGAGCATTCATTGGTTTTGAACCTCTGACTCTACAAACAACAACAACACAGAAAACATAATGAGCCCAGAATGAGAATAAAGGTTGAAACAAACAACAACAAAAAAAACTGATGGCTTTCAATACTTTTCAGAACTACAGAATGGTTCTCTAACAAGTTTTACTTCAAAAATCTTCTAAGAAAGCTGTGTGGAGCAGGACTGTCATGCTGAGAATCCACACTTGGCTCTGCAAATTCATACATACATGTAATAATTCTTACAGCTCCAGCTCTAACTAGTCTGTGACAGTTCACATCAGTGCTTTAAAAGACAATAAGTACTGAAGAGACACTGCTTTACATTACACTACTAATTCCACTTAAAGATACCTTCAGCAGGCCAAGATACATAAATCTCCCACACGAGAAACAGTCTTTCATTTTAACAAGGCAGCATTCTGCTCAAAGGTGACACCCTGTGAAGTGCTGGAATTGAGGCTTATAAATTATTTATAAGTGATGGTGTCTTAAAGGATCTTGCTTATTTCACATAAGACATCCTTGCAGGAAAGAATTTCCATTCTAACGAGTCACTTTATTACCTGAATCCCTCATTGCTTCAATATCCACCAGTGACCATGAATCACCCAACTGGAAGATATTAGTGCCCAATTCCCCCTCTGCCTTCAGGAGCTACGGTTAACCGTGATACAATGCTGAAGGGAGTATGAGAACATTAAACCACTGCAACAGATTCTTGCTGCCTCTGGAACGTTTTATGAAATGAAACAAATCCTGCTTCATTAGAATTTAAAAAACATCACTCTGCTTACAGCTACTTAACTGTGTATCAGCAGCCTCAGTGTGTTGCTGTAATACATGTGCCCGTATGGTCTAGGGCCAGCACAAGGGGTGTTGCCAAGTGGGACAAGGACTGTGAGCCACGTTTGGCTCCCCACGTGGGCTCCCCTGACCTTTCCGCAGTCTCTATTACTGCTCATTCAGAGCACTTCAGTCACTGATGTATTGAGCCTCAACACCAACCCCTGAGGTTCAGAAGACTTTTTAAAGCAGGATCTGAGGGCAAATTAATGCTGTATCTAAATTTACTGGAATTTTACAGTGGAACCAAAACCTGAATCTAACTCAGGCTGGAGGCAAATTCCACATCCCTCTATAGAAGCTGTGAAACAGATTAACCCAACACCCAAAACCTAAACATCCAGCATGACCAGGATGGTAGCTTCAAAGATGAAAGTGAGAACTGGGGAAATAAGGCAAGATCTACCAAAGTCTAAACAGCTATCAGAAAAAAACATCTAAGATGCTCAGAGTTTTCCAGAGGCTCCCTTAGCCATTTAGCAGCATCCCATCTCCTTCAGTTACTTACTTCCGTTCCAGTTGCATTCTGGTTTTCACCATCCATATAGGATTCATCAGGGTATTTGTGATAAAGGCTGAAAAAGTGGAAAGAAAAACAGAAGCATAGCTGAATTTAGGCAGTCCACACAGTTCAAGCAAGTGAACTATATGAAATGAACTATCTAAATGAACTATACACACTGTGCAGTGACAGTTCTAGTTACCAGCTGCAGAGGTTTCAGACAACATACAGGTGTGTAGCTTCTAATCTGTCTCCGGCCAGAGAACTATCTTATATTAAGAAAGCTCCAGAAGGCATCAGTCAATGGCCTTAAGGGCTCTTTTCTTTCTGCACCTATGTACTTCATGTTTCTAAACAATGCTGTAGGCAAGACAGCTTACTTACTGACTGGGTTTTACAAAAATAGACAGGGAAAACATGCATTTATTAGTGTCTTGTTTTCCCCAAGGCTCTAGGTGGTGCCATTGAGCTACCTCATCAACTGAATCCACCCACAGCTATGGGGTCAGTCTGGCAAACATTTTTAATGATCACTCTGCTGACTGACACTTGAATTAGTGGAGCTGTTTTGCAGTATTCTTCCAATAAGAACAGGCTATTTCCTTATCCTGGGAGGAAAAAAATACAACAAGCCAAAATAATTTGGCTAAAGCAGTATCAAAGGTTTGCTGATGTCTATTAACTTTTGCTTTAAACTGTTCAGAAATATTCTTATAGCATTTTGTTTGGAATAAAAGTTTATTCTCACTTGCAAAGAATTCAGAAACATTACGAAGCATCGAACAGTAAAACAGCTCCTCTGCAAACAAGGTAAGCCAAGAGCTAGCAAACTCCTGGGATGGAGCTCTGTGAAGTCTATCCCTGGCTTCCCCCAAAAGCTGATGTTAGAATATTTCACTAGCACTGAAAGGGTCCCTGTCCTTTAGAGGTGAGCATCAGGTCATGCCACTACTCACAGTTCTGTAGCTGTAGCACCTGGCACATGGTTCTACAATGTTCTTACTGAAAGTCTCCAATTAGAAAGACATTCAAGCATGTGTTTCTATCAGTTTCATTGGCTCCAGCAATTCCTAAAACCCTTCCTCAATGCTAAACTTGGCCAAACCACACAAGTTTAAATCAATAAATAACACTGCCATAACTTATTCACAAGGGCACTTTACCTACAGAAAGCACTGTGCCAACAGAGTAGGACTGTATGACTGCATTGGCAATTGGTGGGTTGGCACAAACACGTGCAACAACTTTGCTACAAACTTTAGATTGCAGAGATAGGTGGTTACTCAAACTAGGTGCTAAGAAGAACAAATTTACCCCTTTTTAGTAGTGTTATGAAACACCAATTTAAACTCCTCAGAGTGTTCCTTAACAGTCTCCAAAGCAATCCTGCCAAGCACTCCTGTCTGTTTGTGAGAGAACGAGATGTTTCCAGACTCACAGATTTTATTTAGTCTCTGAACTTTGGCTCATTAAGAACACCTTATACATACTGTTGTTCCACAATCTCAGTTACATCTCCTGATCTCACCCTTGTATGGAGATGATTGCTGGATATATTTCCTAGAAAGTAGATCCTCTATACCAACGTTTTCTGGATCTATAAGCCTGTACTTGTACAGATGTCACAATTATTCACAGACCCCAGTCAGGAATTATCTATTAGCCCGTACTGACAGACTGAGAGTCCAGGCCCTATCTTAATGATAACCTCCATTCATTTTCTAGCTACTGAGAACAAGTCTTGTATTGGTAACAGCTTGGAATACATACTTCAAAAAATTAAGGTGCATCTCAGAGCCATGCAGACACCAACACAAGCATGGCAGGTACTGCTAAGGGACCAGATGCTGGAGTATTGCTGCAGACCATATGGAAAGTGAACTGCAAACACGTACCTGCAGAACCTGCAGAACAGACATGCACAATGTTGCTGTTGGGTACAAAAATGCCATTAAATCGCTCTTTGGCTTTGGAGTAGCACGCAAAGTAGACAGCTCTGTGGAAAAACAAACAAAGAACAGAACAAAAGCAATAATACACATGACATCAAGTTAGGTACATTACAGTATTACCTCCTCTAGAAAAAACAGGACTCTCTAAAAAGGGGCCTCTGTATGATGTGTCCATCTGCAGGAATACAAGCTTTTTTCCTCTAAGGTGCCACTATCTGACTCGACACCCACAGGGTAGAAAGATCTTAATTTCATACCAAGCCTGTGATGTGAAGCAACATGGTTTTGTTAAAGCAAGTTAGACTGGATACTAATGCCAACCCTGGCATTTAATACATTTTGTACCCTTGGGACTGTAACATCCCACTCTGAGCCTCTGTTTTCCCTACATTTGGTCAGAGCTATAGTTGCCTTGGCAGCACTTAGCCCTGGATTTAACTAAAAGCAGTTTCACACACTTCTAGTAATACATTAAAATATTCCCCCCTCCTAATTATTTTTTTGAGGATAGCATCATGAACAAAGTTCCACTGATAACAGAAAGCACAGATCACAACAAGCAGCTAAGACACACATACAGAAGTTTACAGAAGTCAAAAAATGACAAACTGAGGTTTCATTGTTAGAAAAAACAGTACTGACTTTCATAGTATTCCATCCTTTTAAGAAGAGAATATGAATATTGACTAGAAACAGGTACTAAATGCATTAGTTACTGATACACGTAAGCGAAAGTCAGTGCTATACAAGTGTAAGGATGATTTTTAGAATTATTTGTTGACATGAAAGCTATGCAGTCTGATGCTTTGCAAAGCAGTTTATGGATGGGATAATTTTATGACCTATTCTTCTATATCGCAAACGGGCTGCAATGTTTGGGTTGATGCTTTAAATGTGCTTTTTGGCAACAGCTTAACTATTTACCTCGATGGTGCAACTCCAACCAAGTTTGGACCCAGACCTCGGAAGAGTGACCTTGGTCCTTCTTTTTCCAGAATTGACCTTAAAATAAAAGCAAACAGAGAAAAAAAGGGTAGTATTTAGGTTAAAAGTTACGCTTCTTATTCTGGCAGACAATCAGTCAAAAGAACTGTGCTGAAGAAATCAATGTTAGTTTGAAAACTAGTAAGTTCACAACTGTACAAAAGAATTATAAGAAAATTAGCAGAATTATACACTGCTGAATAAAGACCACTGTGCTGTAAGACTTCAGGGCACTGCAGGCGAATGCGAGTCGTATGACAGAAGGTTACAGTTTCCATTTTTGAAAGCTGAAAGGAATTGAACTTCATAGTTTCACAGAGAATCCAATTCTAATTGACTGAAGAACAAAGAATACTTTTGTCATTCTCTGTATCCAGGAAACTTAAGCAGTTTAGGAGTCTGTTGCCTGAACAGAGGCACGAAAAATTTAAAACCACCAGCACTCTTTCCCCTTTCACAATTAGTCACTTTTTCCCAGTGGAAGTTGAATGCTGCACCCTTCTACAAGCTGCTCCCCCACGTAGTTCAGAGTAACTGATCTGGTTTTGAGGGCATTCAAAAGAGTTCATAGCAAGACTCCAAAGGATGCCACAAACTACAGAACTACCCTTGTGTGTCACCAGATTTCATGACCAGGTGTAAAGCAGGATAACAATTCAATAATGTTTTCCTGTAGTTCTGCAATTGCTACAGCCCAAGTTTCCAAAGCCATTTTCATCCATTTTTCCCCACATCTTGGAAGGCATTTTCAGCTAGAGCTTCTATGATAGTCCAGCTGTCAAGCTCCACGCTTGCTCAGGTGAAAAAGACTTACTTTTACACAATTATTTGCCCAATTAACAGAGCACATATTCAGAAGGATTGAATTAACACCCAAACACTGGTAAATAGCCAACTATTCACCAGCGAGAGCCAGATGTGGTCCAGTAATCACAGGGGCTGAGTGCACAGCCTGCTGCAGTAGACCTCAACTGAAATAAAGGCTCATCACGTGAAAACCATGCAATAAAATCCAGATAGCACCAGGTCCCAGGGGAAGTTCACGTGCATCTGTTTGTACTGTCCAATTCTCCGTTTGCTTTCTAGGTCATTAGCACTGTTGGGAATGTCCCCTGCGGATTCCAAAAACAAGCTCATTAGGCAGAAGATACATAGGAGCTCCTGAAATGTTTTTTATTTCTGCAGTGGAGTAGAACTTTCTGTGTAAACTCCAGAGCTGAGTGTCTCCAAGGAGACAGATCCACCAACTACTCCTTCTTTGTCATTTAGCAGTCACGACTGCAGCTTCCAGCTGGGGTGACTCATGAGAATCTTAAAGGGATTAGACAAAAACAGCCCGACCTTCTGGAGTGCTTTCTATACAGCAGCAGGCTTAACCTGTCCTCCTGAGTACCTACTTTTCTTCTATTTACAGCAGCTAAGGAGCTTTCATATTCAGCATCTTTAAGTCTTCTAGAACGATTTTATGTGCAGGACTCTGAAGGGCTGCTTCCTCAGCCATACAGTTTTCCTAAAACAGAGGATCCAAGTCACATCCAGTTCAGCCATGTATGTATGGTCAGGATTCAGAAAGGATATAAGAGATCTGACTTACTCCTCTTTCTTCATACGTTTGTGTTTCATCAGAAAGATCACAATCAATAGCATTATCTGTGCTTCACAGACACTGTCAGCAAGGGAATGACAGACTGCATGATTATTTCATTCTCACTTCTTAATCCTCTGGACTAAATAGGTCAAAAACATGGTGTGATACATGCAGCTGAGCAATTCCTCAAGCAAAATGAAATCAAGATCATAGTCACCACAGAAATTCTGGGGTGAAATGAAATCAAGATTTGTCAACCAAATTTAATGAGCTTAATAAATACATTAAAAGGTTGACCTAATTTTAACCCATCTCTTCTTTCCCTAAAAGGGAAATCTTAGAGAAAGATGGGAAAAGGAAATAAATTAACAGCCTCATATGTTTAAATTATTACTTCCTTTAGTAACAGCTGTCTTTAGACCAGTGCTGCAAGGTGAAACAGTAGAAAGGGAAAGAAGAAAACCGAAGGCAATTGGCACTGAGTTATACTTTTGGTCACGAATTGCTGTAGATTCACCTCTGAATACAAAGTGTTTGGCATGGGAAAGAAGCTCTGTTTATAACAGAAACTCAAGTCCCAGAATGACTCTAAGCATCTAGCTCTGCAGAGAATTTGAGTTAGCACTGTACTGTTACATAACTGTGCAGCTTCTCCTCAGGCAACCTGCCAAGTGTGTTGGCCTTACATAAATCATTCAACTTGTTTTGCTAGTCAGTATTTTCTTTGGCATTTCTATTACCTGATCTAAGCAGGACCATCCTGCTCTACCCTGTGATGTGCTCAATGATCCAAATAAACTCGATGCACTGCATGATGTCTGAACCATAACTTTGGGTTGTGATCAATGGCTCTGGGTCCAGGTGGAGGCTGGTGGCAAGTGCTGTGCCCCAGGGTCTGTCTTTGGACCGGTACTTTTAAACATCTTTATCAGACACAGATGATGTGATTGAGTGCACCTTCATCAGGTTTGTGGATGACACCAGGCTGAGAGGCACAGCTGATACAGAAGGAAGGCATTCCATCTAAAGGGACCTGAACAAGCTCGAGAGATGAATCCTTGTGATTTTAATGAGGCTCAAGGAAGCCAAGGTGCTACACTTTAGTCAGGGCAATTCCACATATGCATACACACTAGGGGAACTCTCTGAGCAGCCCTGCTAAAAAGGACTTGGGGCTCCTGATAGATGATAAATTGAACACGAGTCAGCAGCGTGCACTGTGGCACAGAAGGCCAACTGCAGCATGCAGCCAACTCCTGGGCTGCATCAAGAGGGGTGCCCGACAGGTTGAGGGTGATGGTTGTCCCTCTCTACCCTTGAGGCCCTGTTTGAAGTACTGTGCCCTATGAACAAAAAAGATGTATAAAATCTTTTGGAGCAGCTCCACAGGAGGGCTGGAGCACCTCTCCTACAAAGACAGGCTGGGCTTTTTCAGCCTGGAGAAAGAAGGCTCCAGAGAAACCACACTGTGGCCTTCCAGCACTGTATGTATAGACAGGGCTGCCCCTTCTTATGTGCTGAATCCAGCACTCGCTCTTTTTAAACTTCCTGTGGTTGGTGATTGCCCAGCTCTCTGATTTCAGCAAGGCCTCCCCACTCTCAATGCAGTCAACAGCTCCTCCCAATAATATAAGGGATCAGAGAATTCTGGGGGTCATCTAGTTCAAATTAGCACTCAAGTAGAATCAATTTTGAAAATGGATCAGTGACTGATATGCATCACAAAACACAGAGAATCAGAAATCTCATTACAACACTGGCCCATTAAGGAGGAGGAAAGGCTACAGACTCTCACCTTTAAACGAGGCTCCAAAGAGAGAGAAATCAAAACTTTACTTCATCAACCTGTTAAATAGCATGGGCAGCAACAGTAAAAGTATCATTCCAGCTACTCAGAGAAGACTGGGAATGGCTCCAGGAAAGACAGAGTGCATAGTTCATTCAGTCCTTCAACCACTGTGCCAAGAATTGGCCTCAGCTAGAAAGGATTACCTGTTCTGTTGCTCAAAGTCTTCCTGTTATTGGAAAAGAAAAAAAAAAAAAGAAAAAGGAAACAAAAAAAAGGCTTTTTTCCCCTAGAATATTTTCTGGTAGTTCCTTCAAGCTAAAGCACATTGAACACAAAGCTTGGAGTATGCAGTGTGCATTGACTCCTAGAATATAATAACTACAAAAATCTCAAAAGCAGATTAAAAATAATACTCCCAGACACTTACCCAAATCAATGTGCTTCTGAGTGCTAGCAATAAAATCCTGTGGAAGCTTAAAGGAACACTCAGGAACTTCATGTATTTTTAAAAGAATAATTTATCTTTCTACTGCCTAACTGACATGTATCCCTGCAGTGCAAGCCTGGAGCAAAATCTGCATTCCTTGTTTGAACCGAGGAATTGAAACTCAGATCACTGGTGTCAATTAACACTGAAGGACCAGAGGAACAGTACTCACTTAAGAACGCTAAGGAGCCCAGGTGAAACAGATGTTGGCCTGACCATTCCTTCACCACTGATGGTCCCCAGCTGGACTTGTGGGTAATAGACAGTCCGAAAGGCCAGTTTTGAAGATTGGAGCCTAGTCTTTATTACTTCTAAGGGACAAGTAAAGATGGCACCAACCGTTCCTCCACATCTGTAAAACACAATTTAAATAGAAGACAGTCAGTAAAATGTGGCTGCACAGATATAGCAAGACACAAGAGCACAGAGCATAAATAAAAAACTGCATAACTGACTCCAATTGCTCCACACTGTGGATAAACTAACAGAAGCAGAGCTGTTTCCACACCAGGCAAGGGAGACTGTTCCCAAGCCTTGTGGGAGGGGAGAGAAGGCTGAGAAACACTTATGATGATCCCATGTAGTGATGAGGTTGGAAGGGTGAAACGCAAAAACAATTCCCAACTCCAACAAAAATCCATGACTGATCATCTGCTGGAATCCTGCCTGTAAAAACGTCAGAGGTGCCATGTTTCAGAGGTGGCTGTCCTAACACTGACATATCCTTGGATGGATTTTTCCTATGGGAAGCAGGAAGCTGGCAGCTGAGAACAAGCGACTGGGAATTAAGAAACTGTACGCAGCAAATATAATCCTCCACCATTTCAACAGTTATGATTACAACAGCTCTCTACTGCAAGTTAGGTTCCCTTAAAAACAATGGCTATCAACTTCTCTGGTGTGGTGAAGCTGCAAGGATGCGAGGGAGGGTGGGAACAGGGGAGGCTGCTGTTCTTCAGGCTACTAAAGAGAATTAATTAGAATTCCCACAGGAATATTACACATGCACTGATTACACGCGGATTATAGAATCGTAAAATCACTAAGGTTGAAAAAGACCAACTGCCACCTACCACCAATACTGCCCAGTGCATCAGGTCCCTCAGGGCCAAATCTGCCCTTTCCTTAAACACCTCCAGGGATGGTGACCCCACCACCTGTCTGGGCAGCCTGTTCCAGCACCTCCCATTCTTTCTGAGACATCCAAGCTGAGAAACTGAGTGAGAAACCAGGATGTCTCTGGGCAAGGGGATGGAAAGGCAGAGGAGATGGCTCAGGCTGCACTCTAAGCAGCAGCCAGACATTTTCCAAGGCAACTTCTGAAAGGAAGGTCAAATTTCTCCAAGATAAGGAGAGTCAGTGATCTGGAGTGCATCACATCCACCTTGCCCAGCCTGCTCTATGATAACAGCTGTTGAGTTGGAAACTTAATGCTGAGGAGTTACAAGGCTGCTTGATGGCAGTATCAGTGACACACCTCTGAACTGAGCATACTCCTGGAGACTGCAGCCTGTGACTCAGTGAATGGAGGCCACTCCAAGGGAGATTTTCCTTGAACAGAAGGTGGTCAGGGAGCCACTGTGCTACATCCACGTTATTTTATATATACAAAAGAAAAGAAAAAAAAATCCCACCTGGCATAAAGTCCTCTTACTTGAAAGGCATCCACCTGAAAATAAATTCAGTAGATGGCAGAAACAATTCAAATCATGGTTTTAATAAGGGCATTTAACTCGGTTTGCCCACATTTCCGAAGAATAGTTTCATGTGATATAGTTTTTAACTGCTGTTATCCTGCTCTTAGCACTGTCTCACTCCATGTTTTTCTTGTTCTAGGGCTTTTTCAACACCTTTCTTTAACCTACGATTTCTCTCTGTAACCAGATAATAATACAGAAACTGCTGGTGGCTGGAAGCTTTTCAATCTGTTGCTACAAACTCACCTAGTTCACACTCCTGACACAGAGCTCTATCATAAAAAATAGATTTCAAGGCATATTAGGAAATAAACACACCTGAATCAGGGTTGAGGATTTCCAGACACACTCTTTTTACATTACCCAGGGCTGACTATTTTTTACTGCAGAGCTTCACACAATGAGTTCAATGTTCTGTACTACACTGCACAAAAAAGGTTCCAAACCCTCTTGTTACACCTTTCCCAGGACGGCAGGCTAAAGTTGCCACTGAGGATCACACATCAGTTTCTTACTGAGACTGGGATGATATCTGAATGTTCCAGTACAGTGATGGAAAACCACCAGCAGCCATTACTTCTATCACCTATCAAAGGTGATACCAAAGAAGCATCAAAGAGCTATAAAAATCCCCAATATGAAACTAGTCCTGAATATAATTGCTGCTCATCACTACTGCCACGCAATAGGAAACAGGGGAGCTAAAGTTGGAAATTCCCCAAGCTAGCAAACAGGCTGAATGAAGGTTGTTACACCAAAACAACACATTGAGCTTCATATTATGCTACAACAGCCTGGGGAGCCACGTTAGAGCTGCCTGTTCTGCTGCAGAGGCCGTGCTCATCTTCATGCAGCGTGGCTCACAAAAAGCACACCAGGAACACAGCAGTGCACAACACCCAACTCTCATCAGTGCTCCTGGTCAAACACCTCGCTCTGTCACTGCTCCTCAATCATCTTTGAATGCCTCTTCTTTGAAACCTGACAGATAAAAATAATTCTGAGGATGACTAAAAAGAACACTTAGTTTTATTAAACTAACACGTTCGGATTTAGGAAGACTTAAGAGGTTTTTGTTGGTTTTTTTCTTTTCCAAAGGCATTTCCTACAACTGAACAGATTGACAAGGAATTTTCTTTGTTTGTACAAGCATCTAAGTACGTTATTCCTTCAAAAACCTGTGCTTAGACTTCCCTTGGAAAGCAGCACAAATCTACAACTTAACTTTCTTTGATGTTAATGTCAATTTGTGATTTAAGTAATTCTCCATGAGAGGGAAAGGAAGAAAAAACCTAATGCCATCCTTTGATTTGCATGTAAAGAATTCCTTGCTAGAGTAGCAAGAACTCTGTGTGCACGTTTGGGAACAGGGAACTACAAAAGGACGTTAATAGAGGTACTAACATGTATTTTCTGTATGTGAACTACTTTAACAGGAGAAGCACTTTTAAGCATGAAAATGGTAAAGACTGGCAAAAAAAATGCAGCAAAAAAATACACACCAGTTTACAAAGGCATTACCTGGTGCTTGCTCAATGCCTTATATTAAACACTAACAATTGTTGGCCAATACTGTTGAGGCTCCTGGATTCCAAGCACTGTGCACTTCAGACACAATTATCCAAAAGAATAAACTGACATGACCAAGCCTGGCAATCTGATTTAACAGCAATACTTCAATGAGTTTCTCCTTTAAGGACTTTAAAGAAACTTGCTTCCTCCTCTTCCCTGATGAAGGGAGGGAAAACGTAACCAAATTGAGAAAATCCTCACATTCAGAGTGACAAATCCTGTAAGAAAGAGCTTTGCCTTCATCTCTTTCAGACCACTAAGATTTGATGGTTGAATAAAGTCACAGAGCTGTTTACAGAACTAGGTGTGTGCCACGGGATCAAGAATGACGTTGTTCACAGAGACCTCGCTGGGTCTCTGGTCGTCCTGTGTACTGAAGGAGAGCTTGGACACAAGCCTTTTGTTGGTGGGCGTCACTTCTGTTTCTCCTGCCTTTTTAGATGCTTCTCGTGTCACTCACATGCCTCAGCCCAGATTTGGGAGGAACAGGCCAGGAATGGTTCCTCCAGCAAAACCTTTCATGTCCCCAGAGCTCAGACCTTTAAATGCAAGGACAAAGTGTTCTGAGAGTTCCTCTCGCAGATCCACGCCGCCACTCTCCCCACTACATATATTCAGTACATAAATGTATATAATTAACACTCGAATAACAGCAAGTCTGAGTGAGTTCCATGAAAATAATTTCATTTCCTTAATAGCTAATTCATCTACCAACACCACGCTGCTGTGTTTTCTATCATCATTTATGAACACCAGAACAACACTTTCATAGTAACACCCCATAAATTCACAACACTGAAATTCCATTTGCCTTTTCTGACCCACCAGCTGCTCAGACTACAGTGACATCTTGCCATAACGTTTTTGAGCCTCTCTGGCATGTTCCCTCCTGCATCAGCTGTCTTCTTTCTTCATGGCTCACTTCTGGAATTTCATCCTTTTAGCCTGATAATCCAGTTAATTTATGCAGACTTGAATATTTGAGTACTCTGGGAATGTATATGTAATCCCTTGGTACTCAACACAGGGAATGAGTATCTGCATCGTCACTTTTAACAGATCAGAGTGAATGTTGCCTGCATGCCATTTAAGAAAAAAAGCATTATCTAAAGGAGCAATTCTCAGAATGCCAACAGGATGCATAAACCATGCCCCAAATATAAATAAGCAGCAGACAGTTCTACTAGGGGCTGTGACGTGTTGGACATCTTGTTCAGATGAGCAGATTTTCCTCCACATGGGAATTTGTTTCCATTAAATCCTGGCGTTGCTCTATTCCCACAAAGATGGCTGAATAACATGCTGTGCATAAAAGAAAACACTTTGTATTCCCACAGTGTTCCAAATACCTTCATCTGGGAAGGAAAAACAACCACCAGCCTCTCTCAGCTACATAAACAGCCCTAACCCTGAAAGATTCAGCTGTGAATATGCAGCCAAATCCATTTGATTTGGGAAGATGGAGGTGTTGCCTCGATTGCAGATTTAAGCCTTAATTCCGATCAGGATGAGGTTTTTAATGAGACACCATGCAGAACTGCAGTTCCAGAGATGTGAGCGGTGTTCACCACCATTACTCTCTTGCTAAAAGGCCAACAATCTCTAAACCTGCCTTCAGTCAAAAGACCTGCTCAGAAACAAACGCAGGGCACGCTACCTTTGACAAGTCACACAGCAAGCACACGAGGGGCTCCCAGCCCTGCTCTGCATGCATCACACACACAGATCCCTTCAGTGTGAGACACCCAACAATGCACCAGCTTGGGCCCATTGCAAACTGCCAGAAAAACAGTGTTTGTACTTCAGGCTACAAACACTCCCTCTGGATACACATTAGCCAGGCATACATTACCATTGGAGCAGTAAAACACATTTCTGAGTTGTGACGTACAAACACAGGAGCACGTTTCATATCCTCAAGCCAAGGGCTGAGTGCTTATGGAGATACAATGTGCTGTGCATTATGAGTTGCAGAAAAATTATTTCCCCCCATAAAAAGAAAACATTCTGTGTAAAAGCCACGCCAAGAATGTAAATCTCAAAACTCAATTTGAACTTTTCTCTCGCTGGCAGCTTTCTATTTTTATAAAGTCCACCCCCAGTACACCAATGACTTGCATTTGAAATAAACTCTCAGCACCCACTAGCACAACTGATATAGATGATGCCAAGTAACTTAATTAAGAGCAGAGATTATTGCATTTGGTGCTACTGACTGGGCCCCTATGATGGATGCAGGACTCTGTTCAGCTAAATTCAGAGGCACTATCAGCACAAAGCACAGCACTGCAGCACCAGTGCATCTGCTTTCCTTGAAGGCAAACTGAGATGAGCCATTTTCCCCATGATTTTGTTTGTGATAGGGATTTCATTCTGTTTTTCTGACGTGTGCCACATGGCCTAGCATGAAACGCACAGCACAAGCAGGGAAGCAGGCTGCATGTTTGATATTCAGTACTGCTTCATCAAGAGTGCAAACGTGAGGTGCTGCATTCCCAGAAACCATAGGAAAGTCATCTTCAAAACAATACAGACTGTTCTTCATGGTTTTGAGATATAAAGCATCCACAGCACCTCCAGCAAATAAAGCTGTCATCAGGTGTGTGTATTGCTGCCAGCACTTGGTGTTCCTCAGTGATGATCTGTTACTGAATTACATCAAGCAGATGAGAACCTAAACTAGATAAGGGGCTGAAAGACAGCAAATCTCATTATCAGCTTAAGGGTTATAACATACACAGCATAACAGAAATACATGCTTCAGGTCAAGGTTGCTTCTCTCCATTCTACAAACGTATTATAAGTTGTGCAAGATGCTGAGCTTTGTTCCATGATAAAATACTTTTTTGCAGGTGAAGCTAGAGGAGCTCATTCACTTCAGTAATTTTGTTTGAGATTTACTGGTATTGTCAGCCTTACCAAATCACTTAACAATCCTTCCCAAAGTACGCTTCCAGTCCCTTCCAGGTGGCTTAAGGAAGCTTTGCTTGGTGTCTCAGTTTGCCTTTCACAGCAGTAGCAGAAAGGAGTTACAGAGTCAAGCCTCAATAGCAAACAGAAAAAAAGTCACAAATGTGATTTTATTCATAGAAACAGTTCCTTCAGTTTCAGTAAAAAAAACCTCTTCTTGAGGTTCAGGAATAGACACCACTCAGTACCTGTACAAAATAAATCACAGTAAGGAGTTCCTTCAGCTTTTGCTCTGCCTTTAAAAATCACTTCTTAGCAAATCCCTGTAGCAAACCATATTATTACAGCTGGAAAGACAAAATGAAGTCACCTCTGCTGAAGCCTGAGCCAAAGTTTTCCCCAAACAAAAATAAGCAAGAACTCCACTGACTTCAGCAGGGAAGGAAGAACCCAGACTTGAAAGCAGTTTGCATTTGTTGTACAACATAAGCATCATTCTGTTTGTTGCTTCTGAAACCTTCTCTGCCCTCACAGTCCTCTTCCCATCAATATCCCAAGAGCTTTTGGCCTGCTGTTATTACTATAAATCTTAAAATGAAAAACAAGCAAGAGGAAGTCAATGACTGTTTCTATCTGTAAGTACGCTGACTTGCCTTTTTTGTGCACACATAAGAAATTGCACTGCATCTCCTTGAGATCTGACACACCATCCCATACTCATTTTTGCAAGAAGCTACTGTAATACCACCAGCGAATCTCAAAATTACTTAAGTGAATGAGCTCCTCTAACTTCACCTGCAGAAAAGTATTTTACCATGGAACAAAGCTCAGCATCTTGCACAACTTATAATGCGGTCTGAGCTTCCAACACTTTCTTCTACAGGAGGAGATAATTTTATCTGTCATAGAGAACCCGGTTCTGCAGGTTCTGTATGACAGTTTGAAGCTGACGTTCAGTTTGTTGTTCCATCCAGTGAGCCCTAAGAAGTCTGTATTTCTGACTTGAACAGCAGAGGTAACAGCATTATTAAATGTGGGCAACCGATCAGAACCGTGTTGGGATAGCAGGTGGGCACAGACACTCATACCCTTATCTGCACAGGGCAAACATCTTAGCATCAGCTGATGTACAAGGAAAACTACATTTGCTATCTCACTGTCCTTTCTGTAACATCACAGCCAAACAAATGATGGTGCATTTTTCTGCGCCTCCTGAACACATTCAGAACAAGAATCAGCTTCACCAATTAACCTGTAAAGGCCTGTATGCCCAAAAGACCATCTCTCTCCTCCATGCCACACTTTCAGAACTGTTTTAAAAATGGATCAATCTTATTATAACTAAGAGGCCAGGATGATATTCTCTGTTGTGCTTCTATTCTTTCCGTCCACGCTCTACTGAAACCAGTCTGAACGTAATGATTTCCCAGCTATAGCACATAAAATGTTTATTAAGATCTTAAGGGAAAGCAGAGACTGTTACAAAATAAATAAGGAAGACGTTGAACATTCAGTGCTAATTTAAAACCCCAATGAGTTTACAATTCCAATTTATTTATTGTGCAAGGAGTTACATGAGGACACCTGGAGTTATGCAGAGGCATTGTTTCTGTCCCAAATGGCTGCATGGGCACATCCAGGTCCAGTTTCTGGCACAGGGTCCAGCAGAGAATGGAAAAACAACAGGGAGAGAGTACTTACAACAATGCAACCATTTTAGCCAGCAGAAGAAAGGCTGTGTGTCTGAAAAACTTGGCTTTGTTGGCTTTAATATTTGTATTAAATGAACTTACTGCTTCACAGCCAACCTTCTCTCTCCATTTAGCAACAGAAGCAGCAATGTCTGCTATTAAGCAGATTAACAATAGGCTTCATGTGGGCTTCTGAACTTTGTCAGCTGGCAAACACTACAGCTATCCCACTGCTCAGTGAGCCTAAACCATTAAAAAAAAGATTTTTGACACGGACAGACCTACTATATACACTCCTAGTAGGTGGGTGGGTGGGATTTTCTTGCTAGACCTTTGATTTTTTATTTTTAATTTACACATCATAACGATTTCACTAGACTGCAGCTAAAATTACCGTGATAGGCCATCTCACAGGGTGTTTTTCTGTCTATTCCATCCCAGGCTCTCGACACACCAAACTCACAACCCCTTGAAAGAGCAAAGACAAAGCAGCAGCAGCATCCCGGCACGCCAGGTCCGTCGTGCAGTAACACCGAGGCCTTCTCTATCTCTTTCTTTCTTTCTTTCTTTCTTTCTTTCTTTCTTTCTCACCGAACGGGCCCTTTTCGGGTCAGGAAAAGGCAGAGCCCAGGGGCCGCAGCTCCCACACCCAGCCCTCCATCCGAGCGCCCGCAGCGCATCACGGTGCGCCGCCCGCTGCCGGCAGAGCAGCCCAGCAGCCCAGCGAGGTTTTGAATTAAAAGCAGCCGACCGCCGAGGCACCGCGCCCTCACAGCGCGCCGGGAGTTCTTACAGCCGCCGAGCTCCCCTCGGGAGCAGACCTCCACACTCACCCGCCGGCGAAGAGATGCAGCAGCGTGTTCTCCTGCGGGCCGCCCGCCATAGCGCCGCCACCTCGGGCTCCGGCTGCCCGGCCGGCCGCTGCCAGCAGAGCCGGGTCGCGGCGCGCGCACGTGACGCCGGCGGGCGGCGCTCGACGCGTCACACGAGCGCGCGCGACGCGTCGGGCGGGAAACAACTCCCGGCCGCGAGGCGGTTCTTCACAGCGCCCCCACGCCGCTCTCTGCGCGCGCGCAGTTGTGGCGGCGGCGGCCGTTGATGCAAACGGCTCTTCTGGTTTTACAGTCAGTGAGGACATAGGAAACACCTCCGCCGCTTCACTGATCCAAGAGCAGAAAACCGCCGCGACTTCCACTTACGTGTTTAAAACCTGCAGCTTCACACAGCCCTTGGCACACCTGGATCCGATCCGAGGCTATTTGTGCCCTGGCGGTGATGGTTAGCACACTCAAGGGCACACGACACAAGGCTTTTTCAATTCTCGTTCCCTGCAGTCAGTGGAAGAACTCCGGCCCAGTGCAGTGATTTATGCTCCTCTATAGGAGCCATCAATTTATGTGCTATGGGTGAATTTCACAGCCAGGACATTTAGGAATGTCTGGCTTTTTACATGAAAGCTAAAATCCTGGAGAAAAGATTAAGATCTACAAAAAGACCCCAAGTCTGCACATTTTTCCGTATACACAAATGTTCTATTATCCGTGACAACGAGCTGAACACACAGCCGAACTGCAATTGAGATCCAGACATGAACTTCACGCCTCTGGCTTGGCACAAACTGAACTTCCAGCCCCAACGCTGAGCGATGCAGGAGTTCAAAGTCTCTGTGTGCACATCCTCAGGCTTTCCTAATCGGAGGAAAAAACGGCTTAAAACCAAGAGATGGAGCAGACCACAGTCCACAGTAGGGGCAGTGCTTTTCGGGAGGACCTCAGTCTCCAACGACAGTCCTTCAGACCTTCCTGTGTCTTTGTGAGGTGATGGTGATGAACACCGAGGTGCCCAAAAAGAACATCTACCTCTGAGATCTTGTGTGGTGGCTCAAGGGTGACGGCACACTGAAGTAGAATTAATCTAGTGGGCTGTGTAAGGGTTTGCTGAGACTAAGGAATGAACACAGCATTAAGCATCTGAAGCCAAGTCACTGCCCAGGATATCTGGCCCCGGCACAACCTGGAATCCTGAGGATCCTAAGCTGCCATCGAGCTCCTGTAAAGCTACTCTTTGTGATAATGTAGAACATAGACCAGAGCTCCAGACAGTGGCATGGATTTGCTGTCAGTATTTCAAGCAGCCAGGCCTGTCAAAGGGTGAGATAAGAGCTTTCTTTAAAGTATAATCCCAGCAGATCAGGCAAATTCATCTAAGAATAGAAAAATCTGGTAAGCAGATGATTCAGAAGAGAGCTGGCAACCTTGGCAGGATCACCAGGAGGCAGATGAGTCCATTAACATCTCTCTTTTGTTTGGTGGAAGTATTCATTTGGCTGCCACATGATATTTGGAGGTCCACATAGTCTGAAGTGCCTTTTTCCAGCCAATAAAACCACTGACCTCATCACACTGACAAAAGCATGCAGGTAGGCATACACATTAAGACAACATATCCATGGCACCTGAAAACATCAGTGCCACCACAACTGGCTCTGTGTACTTCTTTGCTAAGGCTTCCTATCAAACAGAAGTGGTGCGTATTCACATGCAAACAACTAAGGAGTCACATAAGCACACATATACACACAGTGAAAGCTGGGGTGTTATTTTCTTTACGTGTACCCATAAATGTCAAAGGTGCAATTGTGGGAGCACTGGCCTCTCATATTCACGCACATGGAGCACTCACACATACAAACATACACATGGACACAACTTGGCCAACCATTTCCCCACACGCCCAACCAAGAAAAGCTCCCCCCGCATTAAAACCAGTCTCAAGCCGCAATTTTATGTTCCCAGTCCCACAGAAACAAAGCAGCCCTTCTCACAGTGCGCACATGTGCACAAACACCCATCTGTGGAGAGTTGTGCTGTGGCAGGAGGTTATTTCCAACCCACCAGCACACTTGGGAAAACAGCTCCTAGATCAATTAGGTTGGTTAAGCCTGAGCAGGTTTACAGCATGGAAACAGGAAGCCAGACCTGAGGGACAGAAGAAAATCTGTTTGACTTAAGGGGCAAAGAGGAAGTAGAGGGAAATCAGTTGTTTGTGAAGAACAGTGAATGGGACATATGAGAGGTCTGGTCAGCTGTTTCACAGGCACAGAGAAATGGGGAAATCTGATCCTGCAGAATGTGCGCGTGCAATAGGTGCCCTTTCCCTCAGCTTGTTTTCTTCTGTTGCTATTCCTGTTCCTTTCTTCTTTCCCTGCCCTTATGCTGTGTACGTTATGCAAATGTCACTTGGTAGCTGGGCAGTGGGCCTGTCTGCAAGGCAGAGGGCCAAACAAGAGCAAGAGCAGCTGCCGGACAGGAGGGAAGAGCCAGAGCTCTTGGTCTTGGGCAGCAGCCCACACAGGGAGGTGTGAGGGAGGCGTAGCTCAAGACAGCCACTCATTGAACAGCTTCCCAGAAAACTGCCTGGACAAGGACTTCTAGCAGGGCTGCCTGAGACCTGGGGAAGGGTATGTGCAGAGCTGAGCTGCTTCTGAGTTGGTTCACTGACTGGCATGGTGGGGCTACGTATGCAGGAGGCACATCAGGTTGTACCTCCTAATATTAAAGCTGTAGGAACAGATTTCCATTTCCTTTGTCTCTGTGTGAGATAGGCTAAAGTAGGACAGACAAAGGTCAGCAAACCTTATTCTGTATATAGCCTTTGGTCCAAAGTGTGCTTTGCATCCTATGACATCTTACAGATGTTAAGAGAATCAGCTATTGAAAATATCCATAAGGGAAGCCAGCCTCACAGCATCTCCCATTCACCTTCTGTGTGAGATTTATCAGGCCTATAAAGGACTTTTTAAAATACTCAGCTCTTGCATGCATCTAATCTGAGTTTAGCAGGTTTTTTGCTAGTTTATTGAGCAACAACTTATGCTATTGCATGGTATTCCACTAGGTGGCAAATTATCATTATGAAATTTACTGCTTACCCTGTTTACCATTGCCAGCAGCAAAGCGGTAGAAAAGACCAATCTAATTGCGTTGTTGAGCTCAGTGACGAGTTTGTTACACACAGTTCCAGCCAGGTGCCTTGACCTAGCAACCTGAATATGCACAAAGGTGTAAGAGAAGCTTGTTTGCCTGGAGACTGCTGCCACCCAACGTAACAGCTGCTTTACTGAGCATGGTTAAAGGCTCCAAACATTTCTGTCATACATTTCTGCATCGGTTAGAAACATTCCTGGAGAACTGTTAAAATTCACATTTATACCAGTGGGCCAGAGGAGGTAGAAAAAATTTCCTGGAGAAATATATAAGCTAAATTGGCACTGAGGTGCCTGACTTCTAGATGAAATACTTGCAGCTGTGCTTTTCTCTACCTCTTGCTCCCCAGCAGAGAGCACTGTAAGACCAAAGTTAGAAGCAAAACCACCTTGGGGCAGTGAGGCACTAGGCACGTAAGATTGGTCTTTACCAGATCCTGTACATTTTTTCTGCCTGCAACTCGTTTTGCCTATATTTGACTATCAACCTCTCGGGACACTTTGAAAGTACCCTGTCTTGTGGCTCCTGTTCCTGTCCATGAAACACATCTCAAAGGAGAGATGATTTCTAAAAAAGCATAGGTGGCAATAATTTTTTTTTCTGAAGCTCAGGAAAATAAAGCCATCAACACTGTTTGAGCACCTCACTGGTTTAAGCTGGACAGCAAAAATATCACTTGCTTTTTTGCTGTCATCACCTTTACTCTCATTTTCCTTTTCTAGGTGGAATGAAGAGGTATGTCGGCTTGTATCTGCTCACCCCAAGTGAGTGGGCTGGCTTTCCTTCCTTCTCATCATTTTACAGAATAGCTCTGAAAACGGGAGAAATATTTAATTGTTATGTGCATGTCATCCAATCTCTCACACCGTTTCACATGCTGTGGGATATTGTTAGAAAGTCAATCTCTTTCTTGGTTCAGCAGTCTGCTGAATTTGAGGTTTTGGCACACTAAGAGGTGTCTGCTCTTTCATCACACAGAGCCTTTCACCTATGGGAGCTGAAATAAAGAGCGCTGCAGAGTGCAGGTATTCACTCCAGGAGCTGCGACAACATGCAGGGAAACCAAGGAGGAAGACCGGTTTTGTGGTTATGCTATGACTGCATCAAAGCAGCAGGAGAGATGTGGGAAAGCACTGTGTTCCAGACACTGTTTTTATAGCATGCAGAATATTTCTAGGGAATTTCATGACGATAAATGTGCACAGAAGCACTGTGGCCTCAGCAAATCAGACACCACAGGAGCCACATCAGGGTAAGTTCCTGAAGTACACTTTTGCCAGTACAGCATGAACCCAACCAGGAAGGGTTGAGCTGGCTGTTCACGGGACTTGTTTTGTCTGGTGGCTTCCTACAAACTGGAGCAAGGACTCACCAACTTGTTCCACATCATTAGCTGCTGGCAGGTTCCCAACCATTACCAGCCTAGTCTGGATTCCACCCAGCAGCTCTGAGATGAAAGACACCGCATCACCACTGCACTCACTGTTTTAGGTTCTAATCCAGCTCCCACTGCAGTCAGTTACTCTTTTTCCACTGACTGCAGCTGGAGCTGGGTCAGACATTTCTGTAGCAGTTTTGTCTCAAGTCCTCAGCCTGATGAAACACTGCTAAAAAAGTCCAACACAACAGATAGACGCCTGCAATTTTGCTATTTTCTGGCATTCAGTTTAAAACCAGCAACACAGATGAGCAAGATCACAGGGAATTATGTTTCTTCCCTGAAGATACTAAATGTTTGAACTTAAAGCTGTCAGAGCACCTGGTGAAAGGAATCTGGAAGGGTGCAGTAAGTGGGTGTCTATCACAAGGCGGATACATATCTGAAACTCCGCTCTTTTCCAAAGTGCATCCCTGCCAGGAGCACCATCAAAGAAATACCTCTGGTGGTGATGAAGACAGTAATAGCACTCAGCTGCCCTAGGAATGGCTGAGGTCATTGCTCAT